GCCCTTGAGCACCTTGTACTCGCCAGTATGGCCATGATCGCGAGCGGGCAAGACTCAGAGGTCGCCTCCATCGATGTCAGCATCGGGAACATCTACATGTCTCTGTGCCGGTTCGATGAAGCCGTGTTCTCCTACCAGAAGGCTCTCACTGTGTTCAAGTCGTCGAAAGGCGAGACTCACCCTACGGTCGCTTCAGTGTTTGTCAGATTGGCTGAGCTTTACCATAGGACAGGGAAACTCCGTGAGTCCAAGTCCTACTGTGAGAACGCGTTGAGGATATACAACAAGCCTGTGCCTGGGACTACTGTGGAGGAGATTGCTGGTGGGTTAACTGAGATTTCTGCGATTTATGAGTCTGTGGATGAACCTGAGGAAGCTTTAAAGCTACTTCAGAAGTCGATGAAGTTGCTTGAGGATAAACCAGGACAGCAAAGCGCCATTGCAGGTAAAGTTATCGATCAAAACCTATGCAATGTTTTCAAAATAATCCAGTGATTTTGGTCTCAAATTAAATGTAAAGTACATATCTTTGTGTTGTCAAGCATGTTAGTAAATGCCGGTTGGATTAAACTTGCTAATGAAACTGGCTTGAATCTACTCTGTTTTTAGGCTTACTAAGAATAAGTCATTAGTGTGTTATGGCTATTGTAGAAGAATCTTAGATGTAAGGGATATGAATTCTTATCTGAGGCTTAGTATAGGGAAGTAGAATGTGATTAGACAAGAAAATGAATATAATATGTCTGAGGTTTTCAAACTTCTCTTCAAAAAGCTTTTGTTTTATATTTGGCTCTGTGTGTAAATACTTGCAGGGTTAGAGGCAAGAATGGGAGTAATGTATTACACGTTGGGGAGGTACGAGGACGCAAGAAACGCGTTTGAAAGCGCCGTGACAAAGCTGCGAGCAGCGGGTGAGAAATCTGCCTTCTTCGGGGTTGTATTAAACCAGATGGGACTTGCCTGCGTTCAGCTTTTCAAGATCGACGAAGCTGGTGAGCTGTTTGAAGAAGCAAGAGGGATTCTTGAACAAGAACGTGGACCTTGCGATCAGGACACTCTCGGCGTTTACAGCAATCTGGCTGCTACGTACGATGCCATGGGAAGGTAATGTCTCAAGATAACTATCTGACTTATAACACTGATGATCTACTGGTTTACCAAAACCGTAATCACACCTGGTTTGGGTTAAAATGTGTCAATTTGATTGGAATCTTCACCTAAACCGGGATCAAAACTCACTTCTATATATGTAATATTGAAAACTAGAATTATGAAATATGGAAACCAAATGAGAACCGATTAGTGAATACCACCAAATACATTAGGTTGACATGGTTTTGGTTTTTGAAATAGATTTTAAACAAATCATTATAATTTTCATATCGTTTAGAAAATGAAAACCGAAGCAACTTTATTCTTTTGCGTTAGATTTGGAAATGAGTTTTTGGGTATGATTTCGGTTTGGTTTGAATCGGTTTAAGCGGATTTGACATTGTGATTAAAAACTTTTTGGCAAAAATGTTAAAGACATTCATATTTGTGATGGCTATGTAATTTGCAGAATAGAGGATGCGATTGAGATATTAGAACAGGTTCTGAAGCTGAGAGAGGAGAAGCTTGGGACTGCGAATCCCGATTTCGAGGACGAGAAAAAGCGTTTGGCCGAGCTTTTGAAAGAAGCAGGGCGGTCTCGGAACTACAAAGCCAAATCGCTGCAGAATCTGATCGATCCAAACGCAAGACCTGCCAAGAAAGAGTCTTCTGCTAAGAAATGGCCCAGCCTCGGTTTCAAGTTCTAATGAAGGGAAATAATAATCATATATAATAAGTCATCCACATATATATATTCAATATTATTCTATTATAGTATTATCATTATTTTTTATTTGATCTTATTTTATGTATCATAAAATCTGAGGCTGATGAATTAATTTCCTGTATAGTGTTATTATTTGAGTTTGGTGAAATACTGCCAAGGTGGTGGTGAGCTGTTTGTTTGAGTTTGAGAATATCTTTAATCCAATCTTTATTTCGATAATTATATTTCTTTTCCTATGTTTGTGCTAGTTTGTGTAGAAGTATGGATATTGGCAAACCACTTTTCTTTTCTTTTGCATCCAAATTTGATTCGCAATTATATAACTAAAACTAGAGTAGAGTAGTAGAGTACTATGTAACTTGCTTGACAAACGCAAATTGAAACATAATATGGTAAACGGATTACGACCGGTCAACTAAACCCTAGTATACAATAAAAACAGAGGAGCTTTACAAGAAAGTAAGAACTCTTTTTCCTACAGTGCCATGGTATAACTCCTATATTTAATCACAAAATACCAAACTATCAAACCCATATACTTTCTCAATGTGATTCTAATTCTAATCAACACTAAAATCCCTATATTAAATCACAAAAGAACAAACTGTTCCACAAACTTAAATATAATATAACCGTCGAGAAGTTTATTTTAAAATACTTACTATATTTTAGGTTTTCACGTGATAATTTTTTTATTCGCATGACAGTTTATCTTGTATACTAACCACAAATAGATTCTCCAAACAAATGATTTTTAAAGTTTCTTCTCGAATTTGGTTAATTGGTTGAAACTATAATTTTTTAATTTTGTTTTTAAGTTGTTTTTAGATTCACAAAAATCTGACTTGTAATTTTTCTATATTCGTAATGTCTTTGTTCTTAACTTTTTGTTTGACACATAACCTTTTTTTTTTTCATTGTTATAGATTTAATCTATGCAATGTTTGCTTGATATTTTTTTGTAACTTAGTAAAAGGGAGATTTTGCAAGGTTCTCTTTAGATAAGATTTCGAGCTGTGATTTGGAAAACAACCACAAACCTGCTCTAGCAGTAGGACTGACTAATTAATATTAAAGGTTGAAAGGGAAATTCGTGTAATAATTGTTTACTAAAACTAGTGTAAAATTCGAAATTCATTGCTCTCCTTCGGAAATTTCTGTTTGTTTTTTATATGTATAGATAAAAGATGCGCTGAACATCTATATGTGTATATGTCATTATTGTGAGTGATTCTTAGAGGTCTAATCTAATATATCTAGATGTGTTGCTTGCGAGGAAATTAACAGAGATACACTTAACACATACACATTCAAATTCAATTACACATATATAGATTCCCTTTTGTTTTGTTGCGCGTATATAAATCATGAAATTTTGAATGATTTAAAAGTTTGTTGGGTCAAAAATTTCTGTCCCATTTAATGTACAACCAACATTATATTTACGTCAATGCCAATTGATACCATTATCCAGCACTCGAAGATTCGTAATAGCATGATCATTATGGTTGACGCCAATACACATCTTACAAAAAAAGTATGACAAATTATTATTAATTTTCTTGGCGAAATGAAATTTGTGATGCCAAATTCTCCCTAACACATCAAAAAAGCAATATTGCTGACACAATGAGAGTTTGAGACTAATTATCCATCACCATTATATTGAGTATTGTATTATATCGTTTAAATATTTCGATCTTGCTTTCACTTTTGCTCGTGCTCGTTTTAGTTCCTTGTATGGGCCTTCTGGTCTTGTAATTTGTCTTTCCCAAGGCTCATATGCCGTTTGGTCGAGTTTCGATGTCTACAGACTACAGTTTCTTTAGGTTGGTTAGTGCTCCTTTGTTATCTTTTTCGTCTCCATTTTTTGTTGGGTTTAGTTTCATTGGTTGAGTTTGAATTGTGTTATAGTATCTTTATCTTTAGTTACGTTCCAAAATGGTTTCTTTTGTTTAGGCGACTGTTTCCTTTTTGAATTTTTTATTTATTTTAAATTTTGATATTTTTCGCTGACATATGTATATCACCATCGAATTAATATTAAACTCTTCATGAGCAATTCTTTTACTATCGTATTAATATTAAACATCTAAAGATAATTTTTTTACTATCAATATTAATATTAAACACCGAAAAATAATTATTTTTTTTACTATCCTATCCATGTTTATATACGTGGCGATAAGAAAATTTCGTTTATCGTATAAATTTTAAACATCTGGCGAATGAAAAAAAAGAAAGAAATTTACAAATTTAGTTAAAAAGTGATTACCTTATTTTTCACACTGTGCATGCATAACACATATGATGTATCACATGATGTGGCTCACATCATAGCATTTGTTCATGGTCTCTCGTAGCCTTACGCTCTCGTTATATATAAACACCACCAATCCATCAACCTTCATCTCTGACTATTAGCTGAAATAATTCTTCTTCTTCTTCTTCTTCTCTACAATCATCTTTATCTTTAGTTACAATCAGAACTATGGAGTCTACACATATGGACCTGATTCAAAAGATTGTGGGGATAATAGGTAAATAGTCCCAATTATTCACATCAACAATTTTTTTTTTTTTTTAACAATTTTTAGTAGCCTACCATTTTATTTGAGGCATTGTGTTTACTCACTTCATATGATCAATTTTGCAGGAAACTTCATCGCTCTGTGTTTGTTCTTATCACCAACGTAAGTTTTTGCGATATTGTTTAAACAAAATTCCAAAAACAATGAAACATACATAATATGAGATTGATAGTGTACATTTATTAATAATAAATTTTGTTGAAGAAAACCAAACTTGTTTCAGAAATGGAAGACATGGTTTCCTTTGAAACAGCTGATTTTTTTTTTTTTTTTTTTTTTTTTTTGTTTCTTTCATCACTGAAGCTTTTCACTTTGCCTTTGTGTAATCACAACATTGAAGTTGGTACAATTCTCACATGGTTATATGGATAAGCTTTTGAAGGGAACCGTTTTTGTGTGTGTTAAAAAGTCTCTTTTGAAGGGAACCATATATGTATTACATATGGTTTACAATGTTTTTGCTAATACTTAAGTTTAAAAAGGTCTATTTACTGGATTCGCTTCCAAAGAATTAGATCTTTAGTAGATATCATTTATATCTACAGTTAGTGGTTCAAATCAAAACATTTAATGTGTTTTTTACATGCAGGTCAACATTTGTCCGAATTGTGATAAAGAAGTCAGTGGAGGATTACTCACCAGTACCGTATCTGGCAACTCTCATAAACTGTATGGTTTGGGTTCTCTACGGGCTCCCTATGGTGCATCCTAACAGCACACTGGTCGTTACAATCAACGGCGCAGGGGTCTTGATCGAAACTGTGTTCATCACAATTTTTTTCATCTTTTGTGACCGCAAGAAACGGCGGTTGATGATAGCCGCCATTTTAGCGGTTGAAGCTGTGTTTGTGGCTGTTCTCACAGTTTTGGTCTTCACTCTCGAGCACACTACCAATAAACGTACGATGAGCGTTGGAATCGTTTGTTGCGTTTTTAACGTGATGATGTATGCTTCTCCATTATCTGTCATGGTATGTTTTTATTTCCTAAAATTAATTTAGTATTTTATGAGTATAAAGTTATTTATAGACAAATGTACAGGAATATTTTTTTATAGACAAGTTATTGTTTCCTTGTTAATTAGATTTCCCCATTTTTGACTCAATAAATTGTGGTGCATTTATGAGTTTTAAGTATTTTATAGAAATATATTTCTTTACTACATAATGTTAAGATTTAAAAACTTTAGCTAATCATTTTCTTTTTCTTTTTAATGACATGGGAAAATATGAAGAAAATGGTAATACAAACAAAAAGTGTGGAGTTTATGCCGTTTTGGCTATCACTAGCTGGATTCTTAAACGCAGGCGTTTGGACCGTTTATGCACTCATGCCTTTGGATCTATTCATCGCTGTGAGTTTTTTCTCCTTCCCCTTCATCAAAACTTCATGATTCACCTATAAAACTAGATTTCATATTTATGTAAATTAAAATAAAAGATATATCTATATTTTATATATGGAATTGTGTAGGAGTAACATTTTACCTAAGGAAAAAAAATGCATATACTCATTGGGCTTTTTATAATGACATTTTTTGCAGATACCAAATGGAATTGGATGTGTGTTTGGGCTGGCCCAATTAATACTGTATGCTGCTTATTACAAATCCACCAAAAGGATAATGCAGGCGAGACCATACGTTGGTGAAATAAACTTTTCCGGTTTTCGCGTGCAGACATCCGACAATATTTGATCTGCTCAAATAATCCCACCATATCTCATTATCAAACAATTTTTTTTCATTCCATCTAAGACTTTATAATATGCGAATAAAGTGAATGTTTTCGTTACTTTGTTACCATCTTCGTGAAGAAATATTATCAAAAAATCTTCATGAACTAAAAGTATTGGATGTAATGTTACAACTTTATAATATGCAAATAAGTTGAATATTTTCATTAATTTGTTTCAATCTTCGTGAAGTAATTTCGATGTCCGTTATTTTGGGAGCAATAGAGACTTTTTAAAGTATTGGGTGTAATGTTAAAATATAAAATGGGAATAAGATGAATATTTTCGTAATTTTGTTACAATTTTCGTGAAGTAATTTCGATATCCGTTATTTTGGGGGAGGAATAGAGATTCTTTAAAATATTGGGTGTAATGTTAAAACCTTAATAAGGTGAATGTTCTCGTTACTTTTGTTTCAATTTTTGGAGCAATTGATTCTTTTAAAAGTATTAGGTGTAATGTTGCAACTTTTGAGATTAGGCGGTCTCAAATTAAATTAATCAATCGTCGTCAATCGTCATCGGTCGTTTCGTCACTCCCCAGTCAAAATTTTCAAGTTAGCGACCCACTCAATTTTTGAAAAAAGTTATCAGAAAGCAAATCGCGATTCTCTCTTCTCGGAGGAAGCCGGAGCGAATAACGAAGAAAAAAAAATGGCGGAGAAGAAGCGATGGATTGCGATGTATACGAAGCACATCAAGCAGAAGAGAAAGGTCTATCACGATGGCTTCCTCGATTTCGAAATCACCAGAAGAAAGGTTCTCTTCAGTCTATGCTTGACATTCGTTTGCGATTATTTGGTTTAATCCACTAGATTATCGGGATGTGGTGAAAAATTTTACATAGTTGATTCGAAATCCGCTTTTGGCTTTTGATTAGTGAAGAGAATGATACTCAGCTCCACTTAACTATAATTATGTTTTGCTTTTCGTTTCCAAGTTTGTATGATTATCGGATGTGACTGAGCTTAAGTGGAGCTTGTTCATGTGGATTTAGGGTTGGATTATCTATTATGCGTGGGATGATTTATGCAGATCTGAAGCTCACTGGCTTGGATTATCTATTTCATCTTTCAATTTCCTGAAATTTTTCATGATCCAGAGTTTCTTTATGCATGAATTGTTTGCAGTAGAAATTACTGACCAGTAACATTGATCACGTCTCAAAGGAAGTGCTAAACAATAATCTTTGCTGCACAATTGATCGATTCACTTCCTCAAATTTGATAGAATTGCTATGTAAACACTGTGCTTTCCATTTACATCATAACTTAAAATGAAACTTGTTAGAAGGGAACATATCTGTTTCCTTATCTTCATCTTGTCTAGTAGATCTCAGAGCTAACCTAGTGAATTGTAAACCAGGTGATGCTTTATGATGAAGCCGATAATCTACTTGAAAGCAAGATGCTAAAGGCAGATGAAGTTGTGAGCTCAGGCGAATCACTCACGTTTCAAGCATATCTTGTGGATATATGCGAACCCAAGGAAGGAAGTATGGCTTCATCTGATCCAATAGTTCAACCAAGTGATCAAGGATGTGCGCGCAAATCATTTGCAGTGCTCAGGCCAAATTTCAAGAAAAGTTATCTTCATTCTGGTATGATCTCTTGTTATCCAAACTCTCAGAAAATTTCTCAGGAAAGTGTTTCATTTTGAGAAAAGTATTCTTACTCATTTTCCTTTGTGTCTTGGCAGAAGAGAAAAAACCCAACATTGTGAATAAATTCCCGTCAAATAGTCTCAGCCCATCTCACAAAATGATCAGAGGTGAGTGTAGTTGAGTTAGTGAACTGTAAATCCCTCATCTACTCCTAGCAAAAACTTGTTTACTTTTTGTCTAAATCCCTTGGAGAGTGGAAATCGAGCGCTGCAGATTATTAATGTTTTGCTTCTACAATTTTAGTATTCAAAAAGAGAGAATTGCACAAGTATGAGGCACAAAGTCCAGACACTGTAAAGCCGACAACAAAAGGTTTGATGCTTTCTTTTTCTTTCTTTAAAATGTTTCTGCAGTTAATTATTGGAGAACAGAATTTCAAATCTTTTTGACATTTCGCTAGATTCAAAATTGTTGCTTTATTCATCGATAGCTGAAGTGCATCCATTTAGTCTTTGCAGATTTTAAGGTTTTTAAAAATTTCAAGTGTTGGCAGTGACACTGATGGATGGTACAGTGAAAGTCATGCTATGTATCAGTCCTGAACTTAGTATACTAAGTCTATGATGTTGAAAAAGTTATTTTGTACCAAGAAACTGCTCAGTAGATTAGGTTTGAATCGTAGAACACATGCTTTTCAAGCCACGGTCATCACCAAACATGAGAAACGTTGCAATCATTCTGGTGTTTGATCTGGAAATAGGTTAAAACTGACATACCATCCTCCTAAAATGGTACTGTGTGAATGTGCAGGAATGTCCGATGAAGTTTTAAGACCGGTGAATGGTAAGTTAAGCAAGGAATTTCCTCCACATAAGCCTTTACGTGATGGTGCGTCAACGTTCAATTCATTGTTTCACTTTTTTTCTCCAAATGGTTTCTTTGTAATACCAAACCTCATGAGAGCATACGTGAACCGCCTTTTATAATTCCTTGCAGTAAATCAGATACTCTCCATTCTCCAGAGACGGAATGTTACAGAGACATGTTCTGGTACGTCAATGGCCTCAACAAAAGCACCTCCGGAATATGATGCAAGCAAACGCCCCAAAATTGAGCCTATTTCACCGAAAGGTAATTACAAAATTTAATTACTTAGACTTGAAATAACTGAAATCGAAAAGAATCTCATTATAAACATTTTTTTTTCTTTTATTTGAGGCAGCAGCATCTAGAGATTCACTTCCTCAACAGTTCATGGTTCGAGAAACCTCATCGGCCAAGACAAGTGTTTGCAGAATGACTCATCTGAACGACTCTCCGAGTTTTGACCTCGGAATATAAAACAAACGTCCCCAAGATCTCATTTTCTTGTAAGTCCCTCAGTGAACTACATAGCCTTTTTCTGAAACTCTAGTTACTCATAGTAAGCTGGTGAAGATCGTTAAGCGTGTCCATATTTCCATAAAAATCTAATGTTTGTTATGAAATGAATCATACACAAGATCCTGAAGTTTAAAGCAATTTGTTGCTATAACTTTATTTGCCTAGTTATATAACTTTAGGGGAAAAATATTAATATCTCCCCACTGGAAAGACGATATGTAGTTTATGTAAATCCGACTGAAACAAAAGTACAACGAACCAGATCTGAATGGTCTGAGTCCAAAGATACCTCAACCTCGTACAAGAATACAGAACAAATAAAACACTTAAATCAAAATAAAAACCCACAAATAATCGTTGTGGGCCATTATTCTTTTTTATTATATGATCCAAATTTTAAATTCATCATAATCTTTTTGGGACAACGTAAGATCTAAGACATTTAAACATTTTGATACTTAAACATCTGATCATCAGCAAGCAACTACTGTCTTGCTGGTCCTCCACATCCTAAAGAAGATGTTCAGTCTCTTCTTCATATTTCACCTTAAGATCCTTTAAGTTGTTTAAGCTCTCAGGTAGGTTAAGGTATATGCTCACTTTCAGCACTTTTAGACCAATCATATTAGAGATTAAAGTGTGTAGTTCCTGGATTACCTATACAGCTCAGATATAGATACTGGAGCTTTCCCATTTCTTTCTCAATCTCAGGGAAGCTCTTGAGCTCAATGCAGCCTGAAAGATTGAGCACTTCAAGAGACTCCATGATGTAGATCTTTACCAGAAAATTCAGAAGCTCTCTACTAGTTTGTAGAGGGTTTCGATGGATGCGGGTATTTATCTGATTACGGTCCCACTGAGATTACGTTCTTTGATGTTAGGTGGAAGTACTTTTGGAAAGCTTTTGATTTCTACACAACCACATAGATTGAGAATCTGTAGATGTTTCAAATTCCCTGTGGCTTCAGAGCTCTGCAATGGAGCTCGCTTTCCCTGGGTGTGAAGTACCTGAATGGTTCAAAAATACCAAGCCTATGGACCAAAGATAGAGAAAGCATTAGCTAGACATCGGAGTGAAAACCGGATTCTCGGGGTATCTCTATGTGCAGCTGTCTCGTTTCAAGAATGCCGAGATCGAGTCAATGGTGAAATGCACCTTTAGATTCAAGAACTAAGATGGGTCTTTGATCAAGCGATTTAGTTGCACGGTAGGAGGTTCTTCAGGACTAGGGATTGAGCCGCGGGAATCAGATCATGTCTTTGCTTGCTACACAAGCTTGTTGCAGATTAAGAAACAGAGCGAAACAGAGGAAGATGAGAAGGTGTGTAGTTCTACTACAACTTCTCTTATATTTAAAGTGATAGATGATGAAGTGCGAGGTACTCAAATGCGGTTTCAGTATGGTGTTTGAACTCGAGGGAACTAATGATCATGATAACGTCTCTTGGGAAGTGAGCTCTGATGAACCTTTAATGGTGGATAACTCTGATGAATCTCCAATGGTGGATGATCACATTATCCAAGAATCGGATGTCATTTCCATAGACGGACAAGGCTCTGATTATGATGAAGGCCAACAAGAAGAACAAACATCTTGCATGGCAATGCCAATCTTGGATCAAGCAATGACGCAGTGCAAAACATTGGTGATGAAGCATCTCCAAACGTTGCAGCTACAACAGAGATTCAACATCAATGTAACTCTGGTGCTATTGTAAATATCAATGGTGAGGCTACGCTTGATCCAACTCCAAGAACCCAGGAACTTCATGTGACTCGAACGACAGTTGGGGACAAAGAAGTCAACAATGGTAAAAGAAACAAAACATGCTTTTCATTTTTGCAGATATTTAGAAGAAAACAAAACATGTCTTAAGAAGAAAACAACTTCTAACCAAACCACAAGGACAGAAGTTTTTTAGGTTTAATTTTGGTGAATGCATTTTCAGCAAGATCTCTAATTATCTATTTATAAGTCTGTTTTTCTTGCATAAGCACGTACTAATTCATAAGATTAATAATCATCCCACGAAATTATCCAAATGTTTGATGCCATGAAAACAGTGTCTTGAAATAAACTTTTTTGCTTGGAAAACATTTATAATAAAGCTTAATTAAGATAAAGCAAGAATAAATACCTAGCAAAGGGGCGAGTCTTTAGCATATCCTACGAGTACGGCTTGCCTTAATAACCAACAAATCTTTTCTACAAATTCCAAAATTTCAACAACAAAATTAACAAACTTCACAAAATAAAATAACAGAAGAAATTTCTTGAGAGAGATAAGTTACTTATATACCAAGACATTATATATAGATAGAGATAAAGAGAAAGATAAATAAAGAAACAGAAATGGCTGGACCAGAGCAAGCGGCAAAGCAATCGAGTGAAGTGTTGGGGCAGAGACGAACGTTAGGGATGTGTCCGGTGAGAGCAGCAACAGTTGGATTTGTGATAATTGGTGGACTTGGCTACATGGTCTTGTACAGCAAGAAGAAGCCAGAAGCTTCAGCAGGTGATGTTGCTAAAGTTATGTCAGGTGTCTCTGGTACTACTGAGAATACTCGTCCTCGTAACTGATTTTTCTTTTGTTATATTTTTTTATTTACTTTCGAAAATCGCAAATATAGTGAAACTTATATATTTTAAAACATTTTTATATTTATTTATTTTCTTTTCAACAACTTTTGACATTAAACCTTAATGTTTAATTATTTGCTCTTACAAAAATTTTAGATAGCATAAAGTGGTTTGTATTGCATGCGGTTTACTTGCACCGTACTTTAAAGAATGGTGTAATACAAATTTTGTTATTATAACCAAATCGATTGTAGTTGTATGGCATCATTTACATGTGTATGATCAATTTAGATAATATATGGTATATTGCTTTTGAAATTTACATGTTTCCAACATACTTATTAGTTATAACTTCTAATATAAATAAAACCATTCAACAATTGAATAGTACTTAATTAAACAATATTGACTCTATGTCGCATTTTACATTTAATCATATTTATAAAATTAAAACATTGAAAACTTTAAAAATTAAAATATTTATGAAGTACTTACGAGCATAAAATATGATTTTCAATTTATTGAATAAATATATTTTCAAGCATTATATAATGTTTTTAAAAAACACTCAAACAAATATTACTCAAACAAATATTACGCACAATTTTTTTTTAATTTTAAGATGATCAAGCATGTATTATAGTGTATGAACAAAGAAAAAACATAGTATATCACGACAATAATTGTTTTATTTTATTTTATTAATAAACGATAAAATATACAATATATTAAGTATATTATGGATACAAACAACAATGAAAATTTTAATATAAATAAATAAGACATTTGTTGCATTTAAAGCCTCAACGCCATACGGAAACACCAAAAATAAAATGATAAAATGTCTTGAAATATACTTTTAAGTTATGCACATTTCCACCATTTTTCTTTTCACATTACAAAACAAACAACTTTCCTTATAATGAAAACACGAAAGATTATAAAACTTCGAAAAAACAAATACATTTAAGTTTTCGACATAGCTTTTTCAAAAACAAAACAGAAAAACACGACAATACTTAAATGTATTTATGATGAGATAAAAGCAAATAGATAGAAAATAAATTAATTTAAGAAGTTGTGATTTATTTTGGGGTCTGGTGGTAAGTCAAAACATATTAAAGCTGTTGTTGTCAATGTTGAGCCACCTTCAGAGAATTTGTTCTTTGATTCCATTATCTTGATTTCCTTTTTTGAACGTATAAATATTTTTTTTCACAACATTGCAAAACTCGCTAACTACAAAATCAAGCCTTCTCATTAAATTCTTTCTAAAAATTTAAGACAGAGAGAAAGATCAATAGAAGAGAAACTTACATCCATAGATCATCTCCAACAAGCATCATATCTCCTTCATCGTCTGCAAACATTATTTCCCATTAATTGCACTCGTTTTTGAGATCAAAAAGTTTGTCTAGTTCATCGATTAACTGGTTATATCCATTAAGAACAGTTAAATTCACAACTCTTCCTATAACTACACTTTGTATTTGAAACTGTTCAATAACAATATCAAAAATGTATGGACTAATCAAAATCATTTTTATCTATTTTAAAAAAATTTATACAAGTCCGTAATTAAAATTTTATCTAATGTATTATAATACAAATTAAAAATGCTAGTATACATGAAAAAACAATTTCTTCTATGTATTTGATTTTCCAAGCATACCCATGTTCTCTAATACTATAGCTGTACAAAATAAAAATACTTTTAAAACTGACTAATATGTAAAGAATGAGAAATTGATAATTTTTTTCTAGACCTTGACACGACTCTAGTAGAATTGATTTGCTTGCTTTGGATATCTGTTGATGATGTCAGAGTTTGGATTTGTTCAATCTTTTGTTCTTCAATACTTTCACTTTTCGTCAATAATCCACATCATACTAGGCCTCTCGGTCCGGGCCAAGGCTAACTCCCTAGCTAGTCATTACTCTGATAACATTAGCTACCTATGAAGATGAAGAGAGCACACCAGTGTGCTGCATCCCATGGGAGTAATCTTACAAAAATAAATCTGATTGAATTTATTTCGTACCCTTCGCTCAATGAGAAAATGGGTGAGATTAACTCACTGGAAGGTAGACGTAATAACTAGATCAAGAACTAAGGAGACTTCGAGCACACATCTTCATACAATTTTATGATAGTTTTGTAAGGGAAAGAAAATCCTGAGAATGGAATGTAAGTTAGACAGACTGGTAAAACAGCAGTAGCCACATATATAATTCTCAATCAACAAGTTCAAAATGTAATATGTGTTTATGTGGCTATTGGTCAAAAAGCTTCTTCCGTGACTCAGGTAGTGACTAGTCAGAAATTTTGAAAATTTTAACTTTTTGGTATAAGTCAATTTGTTTTATGAGATCTTTTGTTTCTGTTGGAGTCGCCAGATCAACTCCAAACAATTTGTAATCACTTGTTGCATCAATGGTTATCTTTTCATTCATAAACAACCATTTGGTCGTTACTATTCAGCTTAGATATGGTAGGAACTAAGTAGTTCATTTGCCAACCAAACAAAATCTTAGAATCATCAGTTGCATCGTGGTTATTAAGCTGAGAAATATTCATTGGAGAGTTCATGCTTGATTGTCCGACTTCTTGGCCTTGAGCCAAGGTAGGAGTCCACATATCTAAACCTTTAAATAAAAATATAATTAAAACGATTTCACAAAGATGACTTAACTTATTAAATAGTGTTCTCTTACCAATTTCATCAACATGACGTGGTCATTTATTCTTAAGATGCGATTCGATAATGTTTGATGGAGGAGCATTAGGCTCGATTATCCATAGGGAAACCTTACGGAATTGATGCAGCCACATCCCATTTCACCTACAGAAACATAGTTAGTGAATGCTATTATTGTAATAAGAAATTCAAGGTGTGAAGAATCTTAATTCTAAGCTTCGCCAGTCAGAATCTCTCCAATGAGAGAAACAATTTGTATTGCTTATAATCTTCCCCAAATATCTTTTGTAATAAAAAAAGAAACAAAAATTTGTAATCATATTTTTGAAATAAATAACAAAAGATAGATGTTTAAGTTTTACCTTGTTTCAGTAAAATTAGCACATACAGACCGCATTGTAAAACTCGAATCTACAAAAGACTTATTGTTCATTGCATCAATATAATTGTCGAATTTGACAACAAATTGGCTTGATATTATATAATTATATCAAGAACAAAAATATAAGCATATTTGTTGAAAACATTAATTATATGATGTAATAAGTATAATAATGAAGTGCATTTTTACCTTCGCTTACAAAACACATTGAACATGCATTTGGTATTGATAGCATTCATTGCAGAAACAATGATTCCGTGGTGATGAGCTGCTCTTTGTATTCCAACTTGTGACTCTACATTCTCTCCTCTTGAATAAGAAAATAGTTAAAGTTCAAAAATTTTTAAAAAGAAAAGAATATTAAATGACAAACTATATATACCTAAGAAACAAAAAGAGTCTCCCATGACCAATTTTTTGGCTATCGCGAACGCACTTCAACCAGTTGTAAAAATACGCCTTTTTGGTGTACTTGATTGTTTATTGATAAACGAAGATAAATAATCATTAATTAGAGAGTTTGATATAAAAAATATTAATTATATCTAAAAGTATGTTTAAATCTCCATTCATAACCGTGAAGATCTTTAACAACTATTTCTTGAGTCAGTTTTGGTTTAGACATATCCTAAAAAGTTACAATGAAAAAGTCATATAAAGGTTTACAAATCGAGTCATATATAAGTTTATTCGGTTAAAAAACTAAGTAAATATACCAGTAGAGGAAGACATTCAACGACATGTCTTTTTAATATTGAAAATTCCCCATGTGGATTTACATTTGATGCAGTTAATACTTTGGTGAAATAGTAAATTTTCTGATTTTCTTGATTGCCATTAAGAAAAAAAAATTATACTTTCCCATAAAATTAGCAATTAAGAAATTTATTTACTAGAGATTAAAAAAAAGAATTGTTATTATTATAAGTAAAATTTTAAATTTGACACACTTCTGTTTCTGTATCTGGCAATAAACTAGTTTCTGCATAAAATATCATCTGTATCATTCTCCATCTAATTCCAAATATAAAATAAGTAATAAGTTTTTTATTTTTGATGAAATCATACATATAAAAACAATATTATATACAATATATGCTAATATAATATATGTATATATTCTAAAACATAAACATCAATATCATATAAATATATCTTAAACTGAATATCAATAACATTGCATCGAATTTTTGAAGGAATATCAAAAATTGGTGTTATTTCACCCAAGTCATCTTTAGAATATGTCTTAAGGTGAATATACCATCAAATTACGGTATTTTCTTTTCATAGAGAGGTTTCTTTAAATAGTCCGTTCTGTAATTTTAATCCCAACAGAAGGTCCCTCTTTGGGAAAATTGTCTGAAGCGGTGTAATTTTTGCGAAAGGTACCGTTTAACGAATTTCTTTGAAAACAATATTGAAATTGCCATTTATTTATCAATTATCCATAATAAATTGATAAATGTTTATATTGCAACCACTGAATCAAAGGACATGTTTTTCATATATTTACAAGTGTTGCCACCACATTCTCAAATTTGGGATGCTCTCGTCTTTTACTCCTTGTTTCTTATGCTAAATTGACGTGTTCAAACCGAGTTTCTCTAGTGATAATCACATTTTGCAAGGATCAAACTACGACACGTCGTGTTTGAGGTCTGCGCCAAATCATCACAAGAAAAAATTCTTTGTCTTTTGAGTTAGTCCGCACAGCCTCTGCTTTTGCCCTGCAAAGAGGACTTTATGTTCACATTCAGTCGGCGAGATGCCTGACTGTAGTCTGCAAAGCGTAAGTCTTTGCGTTTATCAACATCAGGTTGTCATACTAAAACATGGGATGCCCTTGTCTTGTACTCGTAGTTTCTTATGCTGAACTGACACTGATGTACAAACCGAGTTTATCTGGTGACAATATAACA